GGAAGACTCCTGGAAATAGATCTACTGTACACTCAACGCTGGATTTTCGTAAACATTTTCCAGAACAGCAATTGAGAGGAATAGTGACAAATTTGCCAGCCTAAGGAATTCTCCTCCCATATTGCTGTATGAGTATTACAGCAATGGTTTACCCAGGTCTATGAACCTCTCAGAGTGAAATAAAACAAAGGCAGAATACAAACTGCATTGGAGTGCATAGCCAAAATACAGTGGGGAAATTATTTGATCCCCTGCAGATTTTGTAAATTTGCCCACTTACAAAGAAATGAAGGGTCTATAAATGTTTATCATAGGTGTATTTTAACCACCTTCCGCCCGCCATATAGTACAATGATGGGCGCAAGGTGGTTCTCTCGTTCTGATAGGACATCATATGACGTTCTTCCATTTTCACCACGGATGTGCGGCTCAGGGAGCGCGCAGCCCGGCGATCGCCGGTGCGCTGTGTCCCGCGGACACAGCGGATCACGGAAAGAGCCAAAGATGTCGGCTCAGTCATGTGATCAGTTGTGTCCAATCACAGTTGATCACATATAAACACGGAAATGCTGGTTATCGGCATTTATCTTCTCTCGAGCTGTCACGCTGACAGCTCGAGAGGAGAGGAGAGCAGGTAATCTGCTTTCCGCGGAGGGGGTATGTACACTGATCATCAGGGCACTGATGATCAGTGTACCCTGATGATCAGTGTGGCCCCAGACGTGCCACCTGTCACTGTCCATCAGTGCTCACTGCCACGTGCCAGTGCCCATCAGTGCACACCAATGCCACATATTAGTGCCCATCTGAGCTGCCTTTCAATTTCCCCCATCAGTGCCACCTATCAATGCCAATCCTGCCTATCAGTGCTGCCTAACAGTGCCAGTCAGTGCTGCCTAACAGTGCCATATATCAGTGTCATGTATCAGTGCAGCCTATCAGTGCCCAATACTGCAGCCTCATTAGCACACATCAGTGAAGGAGAAAAATCACTTATTTACAAAATTGTATGACAAACTAAGAAAAAATTATTTTTTTTTAAATTTCCAGTGGTTTTTGGTTTAAGAAAAAATAAAAATCCCAGAGGTGATTAAATACCACCAAAAGAAAGCTCTGTCTCAAAAAAAATGATACAAACTTCATATGGGTACAGTGTTGCATGACCACGCAATTGTCATTCAAAGTGTGACAGCGCTGAAAGCTGGAAATTGGCCTGGGCAGGAAGGGGGTATAAGTGCCCTGTAGGCTAGTGGTTAAATTACAGAGACAGAATATCAGCCAAAAATCCAGAAAAAAAACACATGATACAAATGTTAAAAATTGAGTTGTAGTTCTGGGAGTAAAATAAGTATTTGATTCCCAAGCAAAAACATGACTTAGTACTTGGTGGAGATACCCTTGTTGGCAAGCACAGAGGTAAGATGCTTCTTGTAGTTGGTTACCAGGTTTGCACACATCTCAGGAGGGATTTTGGTCCACTCTTCTTTACAGATCTACTCTAAATCCTTAGGGTTTCAAGGCTGTCGCTTGGCAACTCGAAGTTTCAGCTCCCTCCATACATTTTCTATAGGATAAAGGTCTGGGGACAGCTAGGCCACTCTATGACTTTAATGTGCTTCTTCTTGAGCCACTCCTTTGTTGCCTTGGGGGGGATATTTTGGGTCATTGTCATGCTGGAAGACCCATCCATGAGCCATCTTCAGTGTTCTGGCTGAGGGAAGGTTCTCATCCATGATTACACAATACACGGCTCTGTCCATTGGCCCCCTCTTTTAGTAGAGAAACAGCCTCAAAGCATAAGCTTTCCTCCTCTGTCTGCTTTACTGTAGGGCAGGGGTACTGAATTAAAATTCATGAAGGTCCAGTCAGTAAAAGATTCTACCAACAAAAGGTCCAGATTGCATGTTTGTGCTATGACTCAGATCTTTCACAGCACAACCCCATCTTCTCTTAGGTTCGTGAAATTGAATGTGTTTCCAACCCACAGAGAAATGTACTGTACTTTATCAGATGTGCAGGTGTGTCATTAATTCTTAAATGCACCTCCACACATCACCACCTATAGCACATTTTCACACATGCTAAGTGGCTCGGTGCAGTGTGACTTCAAAAGAACGGTCAAAGACTTTTTAATTTGCTCTCTTTAGGGTAGGGCAGCCCTTTAAAATGAATGGGCTGCCCAACCTGCGACGCGTGCATGCAAAGTACCCCTCTTTATATTATAGTTCCCTCCCCTTCACATCAAGATATCTCTTCACATTACTGTCCTCGGGGCCCCCCCCCCATAATTGTTCTCACCCCCCTCCCCCCCATTACTGTCCTCAGCCCCCCCCTCTACTGTCCTTAGTCCAGCCATAATTGTCCTCAGCTCCCACATAATTGTCCTCAGTCCCTCATTAATGTCCTCAGCTCCCCCCACACATTACTGTCCGCACCCCCCCCCCCCCATTCAAATTACTGCCCGCAGCTCCCCCCACTCACATTACTGTTCGAAGCCGCCCCCCCCCCCCCCACTCACATTACTGTCCGCAGCCCCCCCCCCCCCCACATTGTTGTCCTCAGCCTCCCCCTTACATTACAGGCCTCAGCCTCTCCATAATGGTCCTTAGCCCCTCATTACTGTGCTCAGCCTCCCTTATAATTGTCTTTAGCTTCCCCCCCCCCCTCAAACTGTTCTATCTCCTAATTAAGGTCTTAAGCAGCCTTACTTCACATCCCCCCTCCCTCTTGTCCTACCTTACACAGGAGAGCGAGAGGCACAGAAAGTCTGGACAGAGGCTGGGAGCTGCAAGCTGGCGATTGGTTGCTAGTACCGACCTAGCATACGGTCAGCTGCCTGATAACTCGGGAAGCAAACCCTCTGTGCTGAGCTGTCTTTCCTCCCACTGTGGGCTATGAGGATGACAGCGGTGATGGCTGCAGGGCACAACAGGCTTCCTAATGGCGGGACCGTGGCGGTCCGGGCAGTACAGCGAGTTGGTCCATATGTGACCCACCATTTAGTGATGCCGGCTGTAGGGTCATAGTCAGCATTTTTTCTTCCTCCAAACAGGGCAAATCGAGTTAATGCTAAAGAGTTCAATTTGGGTCTCATCTGACCACAGCCTTTCTTCCAATCCTTCTCAGAATCATTTAGATGTTCATTGGCAAATGTCAGACGGGCCTTTACATGTGCCTTCTCGAGGAGGGGGACCTTGCGGGTGCTGCAGGATTTCAAACCATGGCAGCATATTGTGTTTATCAATGGTTTGTTTGGTGACTTTGTCCCAACTGCCTTGAGATCATTCACAAGCTCCTCCCGTGTAGTTCTGGGCTAATCCCTCACTTTTCTCATGGCCATCCTTACCCCATGAGGCAAAGCTTGCATGGAGCTCCAGACCTAGGGGGATTGATGGTTATCTTGGATTTCTTCCATTTGCAAATAATCGCTCCAACAGCTGTCTCCTTCTCACCAATATTTTTGCTGATGGTCTAGTTGTAATTAGAGCTATGTGCAGGTCTACAAGCTTGTCCCTGATGTCCTTTGACAGCTATTTGGTCTTTCCCATGGTGGTGAGGTTTGAATGGAAGAAAGAGGTGTATAAAAAGACACATGTCCACAGAATAATGAGTTGTTCTTAGGAGTATCTTCTTAAATTTACAGGACTAATACCACATGAGCACATAGCAAGTCTGTGGGAGTAAAAATTATCGTTGGTTGGTAGGGGATCAAATACTTATGTTACTCACTGAACTACAACTCAATTTATAACATTTGTATCATGAGTGTTTTCTAGATTGTTGGTTGATATTCTGTTTCTAACATTTAAAATACACCTATGATAAAAAAATTATTAGAGACCCTTCATTTCTTTGTAAGTGGGTAAACTTGCATAATCTGCAGACACACCTGTCTCTAACTTCTTACGAAGCAACGCAAACCTGATTCAGCTGACTTCTATGGGGCTCTACAGCATGGACAGACAAAACCCCTCTGCTGGGCTATTATATTTTGACAGCCGGCACCTGTGGCTGTCAATGTCTGAACAGCAGCTGCATCTGATTGGATGTAGTTGCGGTTTTGCCATTCATTTTCTGCCTGACTCCTACTTTTTTTAGTCAAAGGATGCCATACAGGAGGGGACAGACAGGGCCACCCATTAATTGAATTTCAGCCCATTCATTAGAACCCATCAGGGCTGCCCTTGGGCAAATTCCAGTATGCCAAATGCTATCTGATTAGTATATTTTGTTTGCCTCCCAAATTTTCACATCACTGTGCATGCCCCCATCACTGAATTCTATGGCATGTTTGCTCTGAAGATCTTTGACAGATCATTATGATGCACCATTCTTATCACAGTGTGTGGAAAGCCAGGAAAAATAAACGGAGGCAGATACAATAGCTTAAAACAAAAATACTCACAGCATGGAAGAAACACAGATCTCACAAAACCAGATGTGTATTTTCCCCATAAAAAGGTGCCTAAAATGGGTTGCTAGAAATGTACTTACATTCTGTTCATCAAGAAGGATATTAGTTCCTCAATGTTGACACTTGCATGCAAAACTCTTATATTGTAGGTCAACTTTTGCAGCAGCTGAAGGCTCTATATAATAAATATCACAAAAATATTTGAAAAATAAGCAAGACAAATAAATAAGCCAGCAGAAAATAGAAGTTGTTTAATCAGATCAAGTTTTCATATTTATGCATGAAGGGAGGATTCAAATGTTTGCTTCCAGTTGTGTGTTAAAGCATGTTAATAAGCAAAATTTAAAGGCAGCCTATTCATTATGAATTGGCTATCAACACACCACAATGGGCAAAAGAAAAGAAAACAAACATGAACCTTTAACCACCTCCCGCCTGCCATATAGTCCAATGACGTGCGCAAGGTGGTTCTCTCGTTCTGGGAGGACGTCATATGACGTCCTCCCATTCTCACCGCGCATGCGCCAGTCAGGGAGTGCGCAGCGCGGTGATCGGCGGTGTGCTGCGTCCCGCGGACACGGCGGATCACCGATCTACGGACAGAGCCGAAGATGTCGGCTTGGTCATGTGATCAGCTGTGTCCAATCACAGCTGATCATATGTAAACGGGGGGAAATGGCGGTTATCGGCATTTCTCTCCTCTCGAGCTGTCATGCTGACAGCTCGAGAGGAGAGGGGACATGTACACTGATCATCAGGGCACTGATGATCAGTGTGCCCTGATGATCAGTGTGGCCCCAGAAGTGCCACCTGTCAGTGCTGAACAGTGTCACGTGCCAGTGCCCATCAGTGCCACATATCAGTGCCTACCAGTGCACATCAATGCCACATATCAGTGCCCATCTGAGCTGCCTTTCAGTGCCACCTATCAATGCCTATCAATGCCGCCTATCAGTGCCCAACAGTGCCAGTCAGTGCCACCTATCAGTGCCCATCAGTGATGCCTGTCAATGCCCATCAGTGATGCCTGTCAATGCCCATCAGTGATGCCTGTCAATGCCCATCAGTGATGCCTGTCAATGCCTCCTCATCAGTGCCACCTATCAGTGTCCATCACTGCAGCCTATCCGTGCCCATCACTGCAGCCTCATTAGCGCACATCAGAGAAGGAGGAAAATCACTTAGTTTTTGTTATAAAATTTTGTAAATAAGAAAAAATTGGGTTTTTTTTCAAAATTTTCAGCATTTTTTGGTTTGTTTAAAAAAAAATAAAAAACCCAGAGGTGATTAAATACCACCAAAACAAAGCTCTGTCACAAAAAAATTATAAAAATTTCATATGGGTACAGTGTTGCATGACCGCGCAATTGTCATTCAAAGTGTGACAGCGCTGAAAGCTAGAAATTGGCCTGGGTAGGAAGAGAGTATAAGTGCCCTGTAGGCAAGTGGTTAAAGAACACAGCAAACCACTATGATATGTGCATAGTGGTGCACTTAGGTCCATTATCTGCTATTCAGCAGTGCACTGGGATGCTATTCACAAACAATGGCACCAAAAACACAAAGAGCTATGGATATAATGCATGCATTTTACACCAGTATGCAGTGTAACACAATGAAAGGTTTTTGTGCACTGAGGCACTTTGCATACAGCAGTCTAATTAAAATGTAAGGGAAAGAAAAAAAAAAAAAAAAAAAAAAAAAAAAAAGTCCTGCTATAGCTGGTTCTGGAGATGCACTAAGGTGCATTCCAGGGTGAATGGCACCCCAATGCATGGTGCGTTACCAAGTGTTACTGCAACATAGTGGTGTGAGCCAGTCTGTGTTGATTAGGAGACAAGCAACAAATCAAATTGTTTGCAATAGGTAACTGTTCCAATTTTGTCCCATAAGAAAATATTGAACTACCCTGAGGTCATGGAGGTCCATCTTTTTTTCTGAAGACAATCCAAATGTTTGCTTAATCAAATTATAAAATGTAAAACTACTGACATGCTAGCAGATGGTCTAATAACCTTTTATCTATTAAGGATAGAATACTCCACTTTCCAAACATATACAGTTAGGCCCATATAGATTTGGACACAGGTACAATTTTAGTTTTGTTAATGTATTTACCAAAAAATATTCAAGCTATAGTTATATAATGGATATGGGCTGAAAGTGCACACTCTCAGGTTTAATTTGAGGGTATGTACATCCAAATTGGAGGAAGGGCTTAGGAATTAAAGCTCTTAAGAGTAGCCATCCCTTTTTCAAGGGACCAAAAGTAATTGGACAATTGAATCAAAAGTCGTTTCAAGGCCAGGTGTGGCCTGCTCCTTCATTATTTCTTTCTTCAATTAGGCAGGTAAAAGGACTGGAGTTGATGCTGTGTGTGCTTTTTGCATTTGGAATCTATTGCTGTGAACCTACATCATGCTGTTAAAGTAGCTGTCCATGTAAGTGAAACAGGCCATTGTAAGGCTTAAAAAATGAAACAAATCCATCAGAGAGATAGCAACATTAGGCCTGGCCAAATCAACAGTTTGGTACATTCTGAGGAAAGATGGTGGAGGCAGTGTGATGGCATGGGCATGCATGGTTTCCAGTGGCACTGGGTCATTGGTGTTTATTGATGATGTGACAGAAGACAGAAGCAGCCGGATGAATTCTGTAGTATTTAGAGATATACCGTCAGCCCAGATTCAGCCAAATGCAGTAAAGTTGATAGGATGGCTCTTCACAGTACAGATGGACAATGATCCAAAACACACTGCAAAAGCAACCCAGGAGTTTTTGAAGGAAAAAAGTGGAATATTCTGCAATGGCAGATGAGTCAATCATCTGATCTCAACACAACTGAGCATGCATTTCACTTGCCTGAAGGCCAAACTAAAGGCAGATAAACTCACAAGGAACAGCTGCAGTTAGAGCCTGGCAAAGCATCAGAAAGGAGGAAACCCAGTCTTTTGTAATGTCCAAATGGGTTCCAGTCTTCAGGCAGTCATTGCCAGTAAAGGATTCTCAACAAAATATTAAAAGTGAACATTTTAGTTAAGATTATATTAATTTGTTCAATTACATTTGAGCCCCTGAAAATGAAGGGAAGGTGTATAAAAATGGTTGCAGTTCCTAAAATTTGTACTTGATATTTAACCACTTGCCTACAGGGCACTTATACCCCCTTCCTGTCCAGGCCAATTTTCAGCTTTCAGCTCCATCATGCAACACTGTACCTATATGAAATTTTTATCTTTTTTTGAGACAGACAGAGCCTTCTTTTGGTGGTATTTAATCACCTCTGGGTTTTTATGTTTTGCTAAACAAACCAAAAAATAACTGAAAATTAAAAAAACCAAAACAAAAACAAACACTTTTTCTTTGTTTCTGTTATAAAATTTTGTATATAAGTGATTTTTCTCCTTCACTGATGTGTGCTAATGAGGCTGTAGTGATGAGGAGGCACTCGTAGGTGGCACTGAAAGTCAGTTCAGATGGGCACTGATATGTGGCATTGATGTGGCACTGGCAGGTGGCATTGATGGGCAATGACAGGTGGCACTGCTGGGGCTACACTGATCATCAGTGCCCTGATGATCAGTGTACATGTTCCCTCTGAGCAATGCAGATTACCGGCTCTCCTCTCCCCAGGAGCTGTCAGCATGATAGCTCGTGAGGAAATGCCGATAACCGGCATTTCCTTACTTACATGCGATGGACACAGCTGATCACGACAGAGCTGACGTCTTCGGCTCTTTCCGTTGATCGATGATCCACTGTGTCCCAGGGACACAGCACACCACAGATCGGCATGCATGCAGGGTTAGAGTGGGAGGACATCATATGACGTCGTCCTAGAACCAGAGAACCACCTTGAATCCGTCATTTCCCTACATGGCGGGCAGGAGGCGGTTAAAAAAACCCTTGAATTAAAGCTGAAAATCAGCACTTCAAATCCATTTGGATTGTTTTGTTTTTATTTATTCTGGTAGCATAGAGAGCCAAAAGTACAGTATGAAAATTGTACCTGTGTCCAAAATATATATGGACCTAACTGTATACATATATACTAATATGATTATATCAGTACATGGGTTTTGTACTAAGATTTATAGAGGTAGGAGGAGAAGACAAACAGTAGAAATGTACGAACCTGTAATAAAACTGGATCACTTAGGATGGAGCTGTATCTGTAAACTACACCAGCCAAAACATTGGTGAGATTGTAAGTAGTATGGAGAGTTTCTCTTGTTTCAGGGTCTACAGCTGTCCAACATAAAAGAGAACAAAATTTGAAACATCCAATAGACATGGGTAACTGTGCTGGGACAGAATATACACACACAGATGCAAAGTGCACCAGCGGTATACAAAGACAGATAAGACATGTCCATACCAAATTAAATCAATGTATTTGAAGATGGCAAAGAAACCTAGAAGCAGCACGAGACAGTGCAACTCACCTAAAAACAACAAGTAGCCCAAAAGCTCTGACAGAATGCACGCAGAGGGGCACTTACCAAGAGCAATAGGAGACAATGGGGGAGATTTACCAAAATTGGTGCACACAGAATCTGGTGCAGCTGTGCATAGTAACCAATCAGCTTCTAGGTTTTATTGTCAAAGCCTAATGCTAAGTTCACACTAGCTTTGTTAGCAGGCATTAAGGAAGCATTTTTAACGCTCCTAAAATGCCTATGAAAATTCTACACATGGCAGCACACAGTGATGTTCACACTGAAGTGTTAGATTTGCGGCAAAATTGATGCCTCATGTCGAGTCAGGAGGAGTTAAAGCTTCCCATTCTAGTCTATGGTGATGCTCCTCAAACGCCTGGCAGGCATTTGTGAGGCTGTTAGGTGCTTGCGGAGCGTTAATACCATTAAACTTCATTATAGGCATTTGTGGTGTGGTTTTAAAGCTTTACAAACACCTATCAAATGCCTCAAAAATGCACATAGGGCGTTTGGGGAGCGTTTAATGAGCGTTAAAAACACTTACCAAATGCCTGTCAAACACTATAGGGGCATTCGACAAGAGTTAGAAATTAGTAAAATGTGAACGAGCCCTAACTGAACAGGCTGAAATTAAAAGTGGACTGGTTACTATGCACAGTTGCACCAGATTCTGTGTGCACGATTTAGTAAATCTTCCCCAATGCATTTTTTTCTTTTGGAGCTATGAACCATCAGCTCCCACTAAAAAGATCCCCATAACTTTACTACCAGGAATGTGGGACGGAGACTTTTCTAGTTTTGTACTAAACGGCACCCTGAAGAGTTCTGTGTAAAATGGACAGACAAAGTCAATGGTTCCAAAGCAATGAAAAAATTGCATACCTCCGAAAAATCATAATTCAAATTTTAGTTTAGAATAGTTCTATTTTGTTTTATGTAATTCATTAAAGGACGCCTCCATATTGTTACTAAAATATTAACCACTTTGTGTCTGGGGCAATTTTTTAATTTTCCACATATGGCTGGGTCACACCATGCAATTGACACTGCATTCAAAATGCAGTCCATTTGCGATCTGCAGCATGTGTCAATAATAAGTTAATGACATCCGAAACACAGGTTGCAAATGCATTGCGTTCACCCACAGCAGATAGCATGGTACAAAAGTACCATGTGATCCAGCTGCAGTGCGGTTTTAAAAGTAGCGCATGCACTACTTTGGGAGTGGTGAGATTTTAGTCCTTTCAAAATAAAAGGGTTGAAAATGCACCGTACAGAACCGCATATTGTGTTCCTGTGTGGGCATGGTATGAATCAGCCCAAAAAAGCATTTTTTGCTAAAAAGTAACTTAGAACACCCAAACATCAAATATTTTCTGAAAACAAAAGCTTGCTCTTAGGTCAGCTCCTCTCCAGAGCTTGGTTTCACTGGAGCCAGCTGCAGCTTCTAATTACCAGCTCTGGGCAGAGGCAGCACTGCTACTGCTCGTTGCGTACCCCTGGACTCTCCTACAGATCCTGCTACTAAAGCAGGCCATACATGGGTCGAATTTCGAACGTTTTTCGATCGAAAACATCGTTCATT